AAAACGTGAGAATACATAGCCAAGTTCAAGTTCAAAAATACAATGATTCCCATGGAAAATCTTTCTAATTTCAATATAAACTAGATTATCATATAATATTTTGTTTCTAATTGAAGAAAGCTTGTTGTAATATACAAAGATCATTCCGTAACTTTAGAGGTTAATTAATCTACTCCCTATGTATTCATCACAAAGTTTACCCTTAGCTTTAAAGTTACTTTAAGTTCACCTAATAACTCAATCATACAAGTATCTCTAGCCAGTATGTACATGATAGTAAAGTAAAAAGTATTAAAAGATGGAAAGTATGCATGTAGCATGAATGTTTTAGAACTTTACGTTATACTTAGACCTTCTTTGGTATAGCTAAAAATAAGATTTTAGTAGATTTTAATGAAAATTGATAAAATATGTGTTTAAACTTAATTTTTGATTTTGACTTAGATTCTTATCAACTTTTGTTAGAATTCATGTATAAACTAAGAATTGAAAAGTCCTAGATAGAAAATGATTCTCAAGATGTCTTCCTCCAAAACTTTATTTTTATTTTTATTTTCCAGAGTAACTAACTAGTAAATAGGGGGTCAAACTTCAACGTGTTTAAATAATTTAAGAGAAAATTGTAACATTTATTCCCAACCTACTCGAATAGTAAGTTGATTCCCATCTTTTAAAACAAGACATCTTCACAATCTCCCTACGACGTAAGTCGTCATTTGATGGCATATATGTGTTCAATTTTATGAAGTTAAGTTTTGCTTTACAATTTGAGCCGATACTTAAATACAATTCATAATGTACATATGCATTATCAACAATCTTATGGTGACTACCACACTCACGTTGTCATCGCATCCTCCCTTATTTTTGCAGCACGCGCACCACCAAACTCCATAGTGCGCACACACTATATATTATATATGGATAAATCTATATGTACATAATGGATTACATAGGCCCATGTGCAAGAAATCCGGCTGTGGATGTGAAGTATGGAAAAGTCAAAAATTGTAGATTACCGATGGATGCGCGCTACATGTCAATTATGTAATGTATTATGTAAATGATTATGTACTTGTAGTATAGTTTATTATATAAAGTCGGTTGGAACTTTCGTACACAGACGAGCACGTATATGCGTTGAAAATGTACCAAGTAAACACTCAACTTAAAAGACAAAGGTAACCACATTTTAGACCAAATCTTAACTATTCCAAAAGTTTCAAAAATGTTCACACTTTTTTACATGAAAAAGGTGAAACAAAATTATTTCCACTAAGATTAAGGGGTTGAACTAGGACAAGGAAGAGGGACAAAGATTAGGATATATCACCAAGAACTTTTGGTCAAAGAATAAAGTTTGTTGAGAGCCGATAATTCATAATTTTGTATTTTTTTTATAGTACATGTTTTAATTTTAACTTTTCTATGGAAAGTAAGAATACGTTGCACTCGATTCATCTAAACCATGCACTATATTATTCTATGTAAAATAGACTAATAGCACTAAACAATATAACAAATATGCTTTTATGATATTTTCAATAGAGATGTTTGGATAGGACTTGACGGCACTACGGAATTGAATTTTGTTCATTGTTCTATCTATTAATGTATATATCATTTAAATCTTGTGTTGAACTCCTCAAAGACGTAGGCGTGGATAATTTTTTTCCCATAAAAGCTTTACACGTGCATGTTTCAATTCAATGGGCCACAACAGAATTTGAACTCTAAGACCTTCGAGTGCTTTGATACTTGACAAAGGATTCCGTCATAAAAGATCAATTTTGTTAAGCAGAGTAGTCCAAATCGTTAAATGTTTTATTTATATAATCCATATTGTAGCTAGGTCTTGGAAGTTGGGTTGGAAAAGAGTTACACACGACAAGAACGCAGGTGATCATCAAATAGCATAGTGTTGTCCAATATTTTATCAAACATGCACGTCATTGATGTCTCATTTTACCTCACAAATTGTAAAGTTTTAATTTGTTTTCTTCTTGAACACTATTCCATGAACCCAAAGTAAACTTCTCATATCTCAATCCAATTATCACCCTCACCCACAAAGGCCCACTAGTAGGGTTGGAATTTAAGGACCATGTAACTAAACATAATCTAATATGTACCCTACCTCCATGACAAGGATGTCCCAAACCCAAGGATCAATTTCCCGACACAAAGTCCCAACCAAGACACATAGAGAGACATTTGCATAATTTGATAGGTTACAACTGACTTTTTAGCCACCGTAAAAAGCTCACACGCACACGTATTAAACACG